ACTCAGGAAGAGAATTTGCTGGGTGGAACCAACCCATTTACAGGTCAGTCTTTACACCCATCTCCTGTACGAAGCTCAAGATTCATTCAGTCACGAAGACAGTCCAGGTTCCGAAACAAGTTCTTATTTTGTACCATTTTTTGTGGGATCAAGTCTATGCTTCACAGATCAAGAGACTCAGGAAGAGATTTTTGGTGGAACCAGCTCCCTTGTGGGCCAGTTCTTACATCCATCTCCTGTACGAAGCCCAAGATCCATTCAGCCCATGAAGACAGTCCTGGCTCCAATACAAGTTCTTATTTTTCACCTGTTTTTTATGGGACCAAGTCTAGGCCTCACAGATCATGAAACTCAGGAAGAGATTTTGCTGGGTGGAACCAACCCTTTTACAGGTCAGTTCTTTTACCCAAGATATCTCTTGTACTATGCTCAACTTATCCATTCAGCACTAGTGGTGTAACGATTAATCAAATTCTCGATTAATCGCGATGACCATTTGGTTTGATTCATGATTCTTTGATTCCACGTTTCGATTTTGCATACCTTTCTCAGAGTGCCCTCAGTGAGTTATTATATTGTGAAATCAGAATCCAAAACTCTTTAAAATGTATGCAGTTCATGTGCCATTTTGTGTTGCGTGGTAAAACTGTTGCCCTTCTAACACCCCTTGAAAATTTCCAAATAAGGCAAATCATATGGGTCACGCTCATTGTACCCTAAAATTGAGGGTTTAGGGTTGTAGGTAGTTTACATTGTGTGTCATGTTGTAAGAATAAAAAAACATTAATATTTTGCATAATCGAATCGCAATAATCAAAATCGAAAGGCAATAATCGAAATTGAATCGAATCACAAGAAATATGAATCGTTACACCTATGGCAAGCCGTTTGTAGCAAAATTCAATCCTTGCAATATATGTTTAATCCTTTAAATAATGGTTTTATTTAAACATAAAAAAAGGCATTCAATCCAATGGCAAATAAAATTTTTGGTTCAATTCAATCTTTTAATTTTCATGATTCAATTCAATACCTAGAATATTGATTCAATCCAATACCTGAAATATTGATTCAATCCAATACCTGGAATATTGATTCAATCCAAT